AGGTGATTTATAGAGAATAGGAGTACATTCGGCTCATGACTCTGATGGCTGTTAAGTCCAAAGGTATGGGACTGGCATCTGACCAGCCTCTGGTGCAACATCATCACAGGCCCAACAGACACAGAAGGAAAGCAGACACAAGCAAAAACAGAGAGAACTGGGGCAGCCATCTTGTTTTTAGTAGCAACTTACTTTCACAGGAACTAACAAACCTATCTTGAGATAGTACTGATCCATTCATGAGGGTGATGCCCCCATGATCCCAACACTACCCTTTAGTTCTCATCTTTTAAAGGTCTCACAGTATCTGTTACATCGGGGACCAAATTCCAACACATGAACCTTTGGGAAACAAACCATTATCCAAACCATCTCAGGTAGGTTCAGAATATTTGTTGCATTTAACATTTTAAGTCTTTGGAGGAAGATTTTGTGTTTATTTTTTTGTCTTTTTCCCATGGAAGAAAGTATAGCATAAGAGCATGGATTGCAGGGTTTAGAAATGAGAATTTGTGTCCTGGCTTTGGCACGTAACTATTTTATGAACTTGGACAAGTTACATAAATTCCCAGTTTTTCAATTTCTTCACTTGGAAAAAATGGTAATTGAGTTCTTACAGAACTGTTTGAGTTAATGAATATGATGCTTAACACAGACCTGTAGTAGGCAGTAAGTTATATTAATAATAATAATAAATTAAGACTCCTTTTCTTTCCAGCAATCAGTGCACTGAGCAGGGGTAGATAACTGATAACTTATTGAGCTGTTCACTTGAGGATACTGTACTGGGAAGGGTACCCACCACCTGCCACGATGCCTCCGTCTCTGTATTCTTGCTTGGGACAGTATTATCCAGCCCAGTGCTTCAGTGTTGCTCTTTGTACAGGACATCATCCCTAGTTTCAACTCTCTGAATTTCACCTAATTTGAAACCAAGATCATGCCATTATCCCAAACTCTACAATTAGAAACTACACTTTCCATAAAGAAATAGGGACATGAGAATAAAGTATAGGTTTAAGAAGTGAGATAATAAGGATTAATTTTAGAGATTCTTTTTGCCATAGGGTGTGTGTGCTGGCCAGATAGAGAGACAAAGTGAGAACTCACTACCCCTCTAGGGTAGGATGGCCACATCGCCATCCGTTCTCCTCCATTCTATTCTCAGGATTTTGGCCATACTCACACATGCACCCAGTGTGATTTTCAAGCCACCAGGTCAGGGACTCAAACCTCACAGTTATTCATGTGGGATCCAGCCATCGTAACCTCCATACCACCTACTGGCCCCAGTTTTAGAGATTCAAAGTTGAGTGAGGAGGAATAGTTGTTTAAATGTGTCCCTCGGAGGTATGTTGACATTGGCTATGACTATACAAAGAGGACAGAAACTTAATCTGACCGTGAAGTTGAAAGGTGGTCCTTTAGGAGGTGATTAGGATTAGATAAGGATATCAGGGGAGGCTCCCGTGATTGAATCCTGGTGGATTTATAAAGAGAGGGAATGAGACAGGCACAGGAGACACACCAACACAGATACCCATGCCCTGCTCTTGTCTCTTGCCATGTTATGGTCTGCACTGCTCCAGGTCTCTGCAGACTCTCCAACCAACAAGAAAACCCTCACCAGAGAAGGCCCCTTGACCTTCCACTTCCAAAACTATGAATGAAATAAACCTCTTTTTGTTGTTTGTTTTAATCAGTTACCCAGTGTAGTATTCAGTTATTAACAACTAAAAAGGAAACTAAAACATCGCATTGGAGATATTCAGCAAGAGTTAGAGATTTAGAACTAATGGCTGAAACTGAAGTTTAAAATTTCAAAGTTGTTCACTTAGAACAGGTGAAAGCCAAGGATAAATGTGATTGTCAAGAGAAAGGAGAAGGCTAAGGTGCTGCATCCTGAGGGGCCTTACCACCAGCAGGGCTTGAGGGGGAAGAGGGACAGCACAGAGGCAGGACAGATAAAGGATGTGGGAAGAGTCTGGGGAAGTAGGGATTTCAGGATGAATTGGCAGATTGCACTACCCTGTGCTGCAGGAAAGCTGGGGAGGATGGCTGAGGAGGAGGAAAGGTTGCTTGGGGAAAGTCTGTTTCAGCATAGAGAATGGCATCAAGATTGCAAGGTGAGAAGAAGTCATGAGAAAGTAACTGGGAAATGTTGCTGCTGCTGTGAAGTGTGAGGAAAAGGCCTGTAATGAATAGCGGCATCTGGGGGGAGGGTTTTGTTGTCATCCTGCTTTGCATTGTTTTCAGCATGGGGTAATTGTATTTATATAAACCTGTGAGCAAAGGGAAGCCATGAAAGAGGGGAATGATTAAACTATGTCCTAGGAGAGGCAGGACAGGAAAGGTCAAGGGGACAAGGAAAGTCTGCTTTGGAAAGGAGGAGGTGCACTTCATCCTGTGAAGCTGAAGGGAAGGAGGAGGAGTGTGAAATGTGGAATTGAGAAAAGAGAAACTAAAGGTACTCAAGGTATATCAAGTTGTACATGGCTCAGCCCTCTTAGTGAAGTAAGATATACCTCGAGTACCTCTTAGTTAAAGGTGAGAATGAAGAGTGGGAAGGAATTAAAATAAACACTGTGAGGAACATGGGGAAGGAGTCGAAAGACAAGAATAAAAACATTACTGCAGAGCAATAATAAATCAGCAAGATTAGCCAGCATGATTTTTAATGGTTGAATATCTGCTGTGTGCCAGCAAAGATCAATCAGGTGGTACTCACAGCAGAGTTGGAGATCCAAATAGATGAACATACGATAAGTTATCTTAGGGACGTAGTTTGAGTGCAAAGGAGCGACCCCAAAGCCAGAATTGAGAGGGGAAGATGAAGCAGTTTAAATGACAGGAAAGTAGCTGAGCTCTGTTCTGGCAGGGGGAGGATCAGGTGTGAGCAAAGTGCTCCCAGAACAAGAAGTATCATAGCGAGAGGCTTTGAGAGGCAAGCACAAGGCAGAGGTCTGGGTCCACTGCTTATGTAGTGGGTGCTTGGGTTACTCTAGGCTGACAAAACAAAATCAGGATGGTGCTGAGGAATCTGCAAGCTTCCAGGTCATTGAGATGGAATTTGACGAATAACTTTTAGGCCAGATGCTATTCTAAATGTTTGCATGGGTGATCACGGCAACCTGTGAGGTAGGTTGTAGAAGTCCTTGTCCAATCAGTGGCTAATGAGTAGTGGAGCTGGGACTCCAAACCCTGATTCATACTATGCAAGAACATAACTTGTTTGGGGTGTCAAAGCGGTTTCTATTGGCTGGCACATGTGGGGAGTAATAGGAGGCAGGACGAAGAGAGAAGTGGGGCATAATGAAGAGCTTTGATCCTTGCTTTGAGTAGTAGTGACTTTTTTTAAGAGAAGAGTTTGTTTTGTTTTGTTTTTATTGTTATAGGGCACATGTGCTTGCTGGAGAAACAGAGGCAGAAAGCAAGAAATCATCCCCCCTGGGGGGGATACTCACGCCATACTGCAATCCCTTTTCCACTCTCCTTCCGGGATCTTGGGCACATACGCACATGCGCCCAGCATGAGCTTTAAGCCACCAGGTCCAGGACCGAATTGCAGTCGACTGTGTGGATGTCCAGCAACATAACCATTACACCACCCGCTGATCCTGCAGTGATTTTTAATAATGCTACATACTGAAAATGAGAGTAAGAATGCAGATAATGGCATTTTAGATTCATATGTACCAACCCGCCATTTTAACCTCCATAGTTGGTCCCAGTCTGATTTCATTTCTCCTTGCTATTTCTCTTCCATAATTCATCGCTTTCTTTTTTTTTTTTTAAGAGAGAGATTTTTGCTATAGGGCACTTGCACTCACCAGAAAGACAGAGAGACACAGAAAGTGAGAAATCATCCCCCCAGGGAAGATGGCCATGCCTCAGTCTCTTCTCCTCCATTGTCTTCTCGGGATCTTGGGCATGCACACACATGTGCCCAGTGTGAGTTTTAAGGGTCCAGGACTCGAACCACGATCAACTACATTAGAGTCCAGAGACATAGCCATTATGCCACCTGCTGGTCCCATAATTCATCACTTTCTAGACAGAGCTCCTAGGCATTAGAGACCATATCTTACTCATTTGTGTATTCCAGTGTGTTTTGTATACTTGTGTCAGTTTCCCTGCCTGGAATTTGAGCTTCATGAGGTTGAGGACCTGTCTGTTTTGTTCATTGGTGAAGCCTTAGAACCTGGCACACAGCAGTCCACCAGTAAAGAGATGTCGAATGATGAAACTTTCTCTGCATGATAACTTCCCCTCTCTTTGGAGTCAGAGTCAGGAGTAGGGTTCCTAAAAGGGCCTGTGAAGCCCAACATAATTTGACCACCTACCTCTTCTAAGATGTTACTTCCAGCCACTCACTCAAGCACACCAGAGCCCCACAAGCTCCTGCCTCAGAGACTTCATACTTGCTGGACTTTCTGTCTGGTACCTGATAAACTCATTCTCTCTTTACTTCTTTCAGGTCTCTCTTTTTTCTGTTTAAGGATTATTTATTTTTTTCATTAATATTATATATACACACACATGTATGTATGTGTGTGTGTGTATTTTTTTTAAATTTGTTTCAGGGCACACACACTTACCAGAGATAGGACAAGAGAGAGAAAGTAAGAAAACAAGCTGCCAGGTCCAGGACTTGAACCTTGGTCAGCAATGTGGGAGTCCAGTACCTTTACCACCACACCACCTTCTGGCCTCCAGATTTCTGTTAAAGTAGCACCTTAGAGGGCCAGCAGATGGCATAGAGGTTAAGGTGGCTGAATCCAACATGGCTGACTAGGCAGCACCGAGTCCCGGACCTGGCATTTGAGAGACATGCTGGGTGCCTGTCCATGTGTGCCCAAAGTCCCAAGAGAAGAATGGAGAAGGGACTGTAGCATAGCCATCCTCCCCTTGGAAGAGCTTTCTCACTTTCCTTCCCTCCCTCCCTCCCTCCCTCTCTCTCTCTCTCTCTCTCCAACAAGTGCCATGTACCCTATGGAAAATTTAAATAAAAAAAAAGAAAGGAAAAGAAAATGTAGACCATCACAAAGGCACGAATGAATTGACATGCTGCTCTGTGATGCAGCTTTTATTATTGTTTGCTGGTGTTAGTCATATTTTAACTTGTACCTTATCTCTTCAGAAAAGCTCCTGATTTTCCCCAACTTCTAATCGAGGTACTTATATATAGGTGTTTAATAAATATAAATTTGAATTTATTCAGTTTTTCTTTTTTTAACCTTATGTGTGTTTATATGTATGTATTATTTTTTTAATTGATTTTTTTTTTGGAGAGGTTTTTGCCATAGGGCACGTGCGCTCACCAGACAGACAGATAGACAAAGAGACAGAGAGATAGAAAGCGAGAAATCACCCCCCAGGGGGGATGGCCATGCTGCAATCCCTTCTCCATTCTCCTCTATTCTACTTTCAGGATCTTGGACACGCACGCACACACACACATCCTGCGTAAGTTTTAAGCCACCGGGTCTGGAACTCGAACCACGGTCGACTACATGGGAGTCCAGCGACATAGCCATTACGCTAACTGCTGGTCCCATATGTATGTATTATTTTTTAATTTCAGGAATTTTTAATTCCTAAGAAGAACAACAGAACTACAAACAGTATTACCAGAGTTACATCCTAGACTTGCATGGGCAAATATGGTGGCTATTTAAATATAAATTAAATTGAATTATTAGGTCATCAGGAAAGTCATGATGTATTTTTCTGTGTTTTTCTATGCAAAAATACTTCATGACTTTCCCAACAACCCAACAGAATTTCAGTTTTTCATCTACATTTCAAGTGCTTAGTGGCCACATATGGCTAATGGCTACTGTATTGAACAGGGCAGATAGAGAACATTTCTATCATAGAGAGGATTCTCTTGACAGCACTGGTCTAGATAAGTCAGAAACAGTGTGATAGGTGTGCGTGTGTGTTAAATTATCATTGTGATAGAGAAGCATGACAGTTAAGTGCAGATTAATTAGTGAGTGTTGGTGCCACTTAGTCTCCAATGATGGCTTTAAGAATACCTGTCTTGTCTTCATTCTTTGCTGTAGGTCTCTCTTAGCATGGACCCTGTTGCTACTCACAGCTGCCATCTCCTCCAGCAACTGCATGAGCAGCGTATTCAAGGATTACTTTGTGATTGTATGTTGGTGGTGAAAGGAGTCTGCTTTAAAGCACACAAGAATGTTCTAGCAGCATTCAGCCAGTATTTTAGGTATGTACTTTAGACATCACTCTTCTAACTGGGGGAAAGGGGGGGGGGGCTGTCCTGATGTGGAAGTATTTTGACCGCGTTTTGTTTTTTCTTTGATTTCACTCTCCTTAGCACATTGAAGTTTATAATACTAATTAATATCAGTCTCTACTTATATTTCTTATCCTATCAGAGTAAAATGATTGAGGAATTAAATTTATGGTAAGAATTTTTCTGTGGCAAGTGCCGGTCCTATTGCCCAGTGTTTGGGCAATATATTGGGAACTGGATCTCGCACAGCCAACCTTGGTTCTAATCCCAGTGGCTTGGAAAACATGCTGGACACATGCACATGTGTGCCCAGAATCCTGATGGTATGAGGAAAAGGATTGCAACGTGACTACTCCCCATTAGGAGGTACTTTCTTTCTGACTCTCTCTTCTGCTCCCATACATCTTCACTCTGTGTCAACAAATAAATGTATGTATAAATACATATACATAGACATATGCGCACACACACATATATATACATATATGTATATATATGTGTGTGTGTATATGTGTGTGTGTGTATATATATATATATATATGTAGATATATATATATGTAGCGGGCCAGCAGATGGCATAGTGGTTAAGGCGCTGGACTCCTACATGGTCAATCACAGTTCAAGTCCTGGACCCAGCAGCTTGAAACTCAAACTCATGTTGGGCACATATGCTTGCATGCCGAAAATCCTGACACAAGAATAGAGGAGAAGGGATTGTGGCATGGCCACCCCCTTTGGAGTGAATGAAGGCAAGACAGGTATTCTTAATGCCATCATTTCTCACTTTCTGTCTCTCTAGCAAGCGCCCTATAGCAAAAATCTCTCTCAAAAAAAATTATTAAGAATTATTCCATGATAAGAAATCAGAGAGTGGAAAACATGCTATATGCTGACTTTTTATTATTTTTTATGAAAGCATTTTAGCTTTTATTCCTTATTTGAATATTCTTTAAAAACCTTTGGTTTGAACTTATATTTATTGCTATAATCATTTTATTTATAAAGACTGAATAATTCCAAGCAGCTGTATTTCACCTTAATGTAACTTGGTTAGAGCTAAGCCAGTCCTTGGCCTAGCAAATCCCACATGCTGCACTCCCACAGCTGCACAATTTGCATCCTGGTCCTGTGGCTTGAAAACTTGCTAGACAGGTGCTTACATGCCCCAGATCCCAGCAGGATGTAGCGACGATAGAGGAAAATGGATTGTAGTGTGACCACTTCCTATTAGGTGATACTTTCTCACTTTCCTTTGTCCCTCTGTCTCTCTCTGACAAGTACATGGCAAATTTTAAAAATTAACGTGCAAAAGTTTTCATCAAAAACACTATTTAAGTACAATAGTTCCCCCTTATCTAAGGAATATGTTTTAGGACCCCAGTGGATACCCAAAACTGCATATAGTACTGAACCTTCTAGTATAAGCTGAGTGTTTTGTTTGTTTTTTTAATGTGATAACTGAGACAGCTACTAAATGACTTATAAGTGACTAACAGGCAGGTAGGTAGTGAATATAATGTGAATACACTGGACAGAGAAACGGTTCACATCTCAGGGAAGCTGGAGTGAAGTGGAGCGAGATTTCATTCTGCTACTCAAAACAGCATTGCTATTTAAAACTTATGAATTACCTATTTCTGAAATTTTCCATGTAATATTTTCAAGCTGCAGTTGATTGTGGGTAAGTAAAACTGCAGAAAGCAAACTGCAAATAAGGATGAACTACTGTATTCTGTATAAGTTCATTTTCTGATTAACAGATTTATTCCTTTGAAACACCAAAGTACTTTTAAGTACTTTAGTTTTCAAAATGCATACCATTTTCTACCTTTTTTTTTTTTCTTTTTGGAAATTTGACCAGAGAGAAAGAGGGAAAGTGAGAAAGCATGTCTCCAGATTCAGGACTCAAACCGTGGTCAACCATGTGGGAACTACCACACCACCTGCTGGCTCCATCTGCTTTTTAATATATGGATTTTTTTAATAAGTATAAATTATTACTACTGTAAACAGATATTCTTTCTTTTATCAGGAGCCTCTTTCAGAATTCTTCAAGCCAGAAGAATGATGTTTTTCACTTGGATATTAAAAACGTCAGTGGCATAGGGCAGATCTTGGACTTCATGTACACTTCTCATCTAGATCTTAACCAGGACAATATACAAGTAATGTTGGACACAGCACAGTGTTTGCAAGTTCAGAATGTTCTGAATCTGTGTCACACGTTTTTAAAATCAAGCACTGTAGAACAGCCACCTGGCATGCCTTGTAACAGTACATTCTCCCTGCAAAGCTCTCTGACCCCTGATGCTACCTGTGTTGTAAATGAGAACTATCCACCTCATTTATTGCAAGAGTGTTCAGCAGATGTCCAGCACAGTAAAGTTTTGGATGAATCGCATTCTCAGGCTCCATCATCAGTTAGTCTTCATCATTCCACTGAGGAAATAGCGAAGCAAGCCCCTGATACCTTAGATGGCAGCTGCTCAGAACTGTCTTTCAAACAGCCCAGTTACTATTATAAACTCAGAAACTTTTACAGCAAGCAGTACTATAAGCAAGCTGCTTGTCCTGGGCGCGAGCGGGTCATGGAGCAGCCTTTCGCTTTCAGTACCACCACAGACCTCACAGCAGTAGAAACCCAGCCTTGTGCCGTCAGTCATCCCGAGTGCATCCTGGAGTCTTCAGAGCACTTGCCTTCCAACTTCTTGGCCCAGCCATTGAGTGACTCTGCCCCAGACCCTGAGTCAGATGCCACATGCCAACAGCCTACCAAACAGATGAGGCTCAAAAAGGCCATTCACCTGAAGAAACTAAATTTCCTAAAGTCACAGAAATCAGCAGAGCAGGCCTCTAAACCCAAGTTGGACGATGGTTTAACAAAGAGGATGGACTCGGCAAGTGAAGAAACGATAGAGAAAGCTAGTGGTCAAAGTACTGAAGAAAAAGAAAGTGAAGAACTTGTCAGTTCTGAGAATTTTAATTGCATTAGTGAGTTAGAGAGACCCGAAGCCCCTGCCCTGGAAGACCAGTCCCAGACACTCCAGTCACAGAGACAGTACGCATGTGAATTGTGTGGGAAACCTTTTAAACATCCAAGCAATTTGGAGCTTCACAAACGGTCTCATACAGGTACACTGATTCAGTACCCACAAGCAAGGGAAGGAAGTAATGCAGAGGTTCTAAGACCACTGCCTGGTCTCCTTTTTTGTAAGAAGTTTTGCTATTGCTTCATAAAGTCACAGATTTTTTTTTTTTTAACAAAAATTAAGAGAAGTTAGCTTTGTTTTGTCTCTTTCTTTCTTTTTTTCTATTGAAGGTTTTTGCTTTAGGTTGTATACACATGCAGGAGAGAGACCCTGAGAAGTTAAGCAATAAATCACCCCCCAGGGGGAGTGGCAACACCTCAGTCTGTTCTCCTCCGTTCTCCTCTCAGTATTTTAGGCATGCATGCATGCACTCCTGGTATGATTTTCAAGCCTCTGGGTCCGGGACTCCCAACTGCAGTTGGCCATGTGGGAGTCCAGCCCCCCATAGCCACTACACCCACTGATGGCTCTTTATTTTCTGTTTTCCATGATGCATCTTAAAGTTCTGTAAATGGTTTTATATAGCCACTTTTAAAATATTATATACTTTTAATTTTTATTTCAATTAGTTTTATATGATGAACTCTCCATCTCTAAAAAAAAAATAGTAAGTTATCGTAATATTTTTAATTGCTGAAGGACATAGGCACTTGCCAGCAAGATAAAAGGCAGCCCTCAGTGGGGTCTGACCTCACCACAGTTCCCTTTCCTCCATCTCACTGTCCTGTCAAGACTTTGCACATACCCATGCCTGGCGTGTTTCCCAAGCCACTGGGGTCAGGACTCATCCTTGGCCATGTGGGACCTGGCTTTCTGTGCATAGCACTTTACAGCTATGCTGTGGGGCCAGCCTGTGATTTTGATGTACTCAGAACTGAAAATTAATTCTAAAACAGATAAGCTATATTTAGTCGTCTCTTTAGAATTAGATTAAGCTTATTTTTTGAAAGCATAATATAGGCTAATTCAGATTAAAATAATTTAATTTGAGTAATTTTAAAAGTTCTCTCCAAAGTAATTTGACTTACCTGATTTTAAAAGTATGATTTGAGAGGCAGGTGGTAAACTTTTTAATAAGAATCAGCTTTAAGTATTTCATATTGTCAAAGGAAAAATTTTTCATTTGAACATTGAATTTTCAGTTTTATTATCTTAACTCATACCTCTCCCCTTTCTTAAGAGTATAAGGTATTATGAGGTATTATGTAATATACATACATTACATTATATGATATGTATTTATTACTTTTCTTTCTTACAATTAAACTTGATGATTTTAATAACACATTACAAATTAATGACAATTATTTTATAGGCATGAGAAGTAATATGCAACAGGATAGTTCCATAACTGTTTTTAAGATGGTTGTATAATTGTGTTTGTATGTTCTGTTATCACTTTAGATTCCCAGATTGTGTAAGTGTTTGCTACTTTACTGGGAGATTTCATTAATATTTGTGAAAGCTCCTTGTAGGTTTTAGAGCATTTGTGTATAAAATTCGTCATTATTATTACTAGTAGTTGAAAACTACTCCATTAGAAGACAGTATCACAGACTGAGAAGACTTAGATCGTTCTGTTTGCTTACATTTTCTACAGCTTAATGCTCACTGTCATTTTTCTATTTGAGACACCCGTTTACCTTCTTTGGGTGTGTGTGAGAGATTTTTGCTATAGGGTACATGTTCTTGCCAGAGAGACAGAGACAGAGAGACAGAAAGAGAAAAATCACCTCATCCCTGGGGGATGGCCACGCAGCAATCCCTTTTTCTCCCTTCTCCTCTCAGGATTTTGGGGACACACACATATATGTCCAGTATGAGTTTTAAGCTGCCAGGTCCGAGACTCAAACCACAGTTGACTACGTGGAAGTCCAGCAATGTAACCATTATACCATCTATTGGTCCCAAGACACTTGTTTACCTTTAAAGGAGACAAAGATCAAATTGTTTTCTTCTGAGAGAACATCTTTGAATGAGAGATACAAATATGGCAAAGATGCTTTCTGGGATAGAATACTCTATTGAGAAGTACAGCAGTTCTCAAAGCATGGTTCGGGAAACCCTACTGGGGCAACCAAAACAATTTTAAAAAATCGCTTATGATGTTACTTGCCTTTTTCTTCTTCTCTCATGCATGTGCAGTGGAAGCTGCCAGAGGCTACAGGATTTGTGATGCTGTCATGACCCTGGTGGCCCGTGGCATGTGTTTTCATGTGTCTTATAAGTACTCAGTTTTCCTTTCTAATAGGGTGTCTATCAATAATGTAGCCCACATAAACGAAAGTTCTTTAGGGTCTCAATTTTAAGAGTACAAAGGGGTCCTGAGACCAAAATGTTCGAGGCCCTGTGATAGGGTTATCAACGTTGGTCATTTAATGAGTCTCAGTATCTGGTGACCTCTCTTTTCAATCTCTTTATTTCTCTTATGGGGGCTTTAAATTGTCATCATTCGTTATCCCAGGAATTTCAAACAAATACAGTCCCAAAATATGATTATTGTTGTTATTATTCTGGGGTCAAGAAAGCCATTGGATGGCTTCAGGAAAAAAATGAAAAATTAAAATATCTTAGCATAAGCTCAGAAAGCTAGTAAGTGGTTTTATCAGGGGAGTAAGCCCCAATGATACAGTAGTAAAGAGAAATGTGTTTTTAAAGAAAACCTTAATGAAACCACTGATTTGAGGAAATGGAAGGTTCTTGGTGTTCAGTCTGTTTGTACTAGGGTTACAGATTAAAGACAGTACCTTCAGGGATACGTTAAAGCAGATCATGTTCCGCAGACTAAGTACATTCAGGACAGCCGAGTGTCTTCACGCAGAGTACCAGTCTCTAGTGCAGGCCCTGAAGTAGAGTGCCTCCGAAGCCAGCAGGGGAGCATGTCTCCATAATGAGGTCTGTGTTCTCCTGTGAGCACGTTTAAACCAAGGCTGGAAGCAGCAGAGAGGGGCTTTTGCCCTGTCGCACCCGTTTTCAGGAGTTCCCTCACTGTTTTGAGTCCTCCAGGTTCACACCTTGTGGGGCGAGTGGGTTACCCAGTCTCTTAGAAAAAAGTGGTCAGGTGGAGTCAGGCTAAAAAACAGGTGAACCAGATTCATGCTGCCCAGCGTGAAAACTCCTGTCTGATTTTTAGTGGAAGGGAAAGGCTATGTCTGAATCTAGGTATGCTTTGAATGTAAACTGCTACATTCAACATAGGTTGGAGAACAGTTTAATTTTTTTAGAGGAAAATAAATACAGATTTCACTTTGGTTATCTCAACCAGCATCTAAATATGAGAGCTGAGTATAAAGAAGCAGAGACTCTCATTTTGATACAGTTAGAATAAAGAACACTGTAGTCATTTTTGAAAGATAGGACACGAGATCATTTAGACATTTTAAACAAAAAATTGTACAAATATTAGTAATGATTTTACAAGATTTTTTTGTTTTGTTTTAGGTGAGAAACCTTTTGAATGTAACATTTGTGGGAAACATTTCTCTCAGGTGGGAATACTCTTATTTACTCTTCATAATTGGAAACCTGAAACCCAGTGTTTATATTCATTACAAATAAGATATACTTTGTACTTGTAAGAGAAGCCTCTGATATCTGTACCTTAAAGTCTTCATACTAAGAGAAAATGATTTTCAGGAAAATAAATTTCTATTTGGGCAAAATTAACATTTTTTCTTTGTGTGAATTCTCACAATACCCTTTTTTTTCCCCTATCTCCCCATTAAGGATGGGTCCAATCCTGTCTACATCTTCTCTTTCATAAAGTCCCCAGGAAACCATACCAAGCACAGATTTACCTAGAGGCTGCAGATTAGCTAGGCTCAGTCCAAGGCAAACAGTCTTCTTAATCTTACTGGGACTGTAAATTTTAAGATGTTGGATACAAAGATCGAGCAATTTGTATTCTGTGCTTTTACTGCTGCTTTTAAGCTGACTTTTATGGAGATAACTTGGCTATGTATTAATTGGCTATGTATTAATTCTTTTTCAACCAAATATTTATTGTACCCTCCAGTGGGCCACGTACTTTGCTAGGTGCTAGACCCAAAGAAGTCTGGAGATTTAATGTTTTACAGAAAATTGCCAATGTAATCGGCCTGTGGGAACCTACTTTCTCTCTCAGACAGAAGGGTTGGGCACTGGTCTGTCAGAGGTACGTGAGGCGGAAGCTGCTCCAGGGCAGGAGAGCTCAGGCCTGCAGAGCAGTCTGTGGCACGACTGTCCTACACACTCCCCGACAGGTCCTGGGGTAGCTGTGGGTGAAAGTGACTTTGGGCCTGGCCTCCATCAGGGCGTGGGGGCCCTTGGGTCTGGAGGAGCTGGACAGGCAGAGCCCTTGCATCTGGAAGAGCTGGACAGGCAGCCGTACAGAGCAGAGAGACAGCAAGCACAGCGAGTGCCGTCTGGGGACAAGTCCTCTCGGGAGGCAGCTCTTCTGGTTGCCCTTCATCTGTTCCCATTTACCCAAACCCGCCTTCTTCATTATTCTGCATACCTCCTACTTTCTGACTCCTTCCATGCTGTGATTCACCAAGCCCTGACATTCATTCGTCACATTATCAGTCCCATCCTCCCTGGAAAATCAGTTTCTCTGGGCCAGGGCCATGTCTTATTTGTCATTTAGGAGCATGATTTGCACCCAGTGAACATTCAGTGTTTGATGACCGGAGCTGAGAGCTCACCTCTCCAGCCACTGTCGCAGTGGGTCCTACCAGCCCAACCTGGGGAGAACGGGGGCGGCGAGGGCGGTGTGAGACTGGCCTTTAGAACTGGGCACTCCGACCTGAACCATACGTGTGTCAGTGCTTACTACTCTGTGACCTTGGGCAAACTACCTCACCTTCGGTGCTTCCGTTTCCTGACCTGTAAAACACGGGTAGTGTTACTCATCTCAGTAAGCACAGCGAAGACTAAGTGAGTTACGAAAATTAATTCCTTAGAACAGTGCCTGGGACATAGTAAGGACTCTAGAGACTTTGTTATTCCCTGTCCCGTTGCCTCACTTCTCCTCGGTCCTCTGCCCTCTTACACCAGTCTCCTATAGCACCTCCCGCATCCTTGCCATTTTCAGCTCAGTAGCTTTAGAGCAGTGGGAAAAGCCTAAGACCTGGATTAATGACCACTAATAATTAGCAACCACAACTTCTGTGGTCCTCATTTTTCTAATCCTTAGAATAGGGATAATGTGGGACTTTTAGGAAGACAGGAAAAATTGGACATAGGAGAACTGTAGGCATTTAAATTGTGGTAACAACGTAAGTTTTGTATTCCCACGCTCAGAACCCTCCTGTGACTCTCCATGGCCAGCCGATCAAGTAAAACCAGACATTCAGTGTAGTCTGCCTCCAGCTTTTCCTGGCATCGATGCCTAGTGCCCACCCTCAGAGATTCTGATTCTGTGGCTTAAGGTGGACTCAAATTTATTGTTTTTTGGGTTTTGCATTTTTTATTGTCAGTGGACTCATATGCCTGCCAAAGTGGGAGGAGAGAAGAGAGAGAAAGTACCACCCAGTGGGGACGAGGACAGGCTGCAATCCTTTTTTCTTCCGTTCTGTATCCCTTCAGAATTTGGGGCAGACCTATGGCATGTTTTTAGACAGCAATTCTGATGTGCACCAAGGCTGAGAACCGCTGCGTTAGGCCTTGACCTGCACTTACCCTCTCAGATCCTACTAAGGTAGCTCTGCTGTTCCAGAGGGCTTGCTTGTTGGCGTCTGTGCGTGTGTGTGCGTGTGTGTGTATATATATATATATATATATATTTGTGTGTGTGTGTGTGTGTGTGTGAATGTAGAGTTACATATTGTAGTTACAGTTTTATACCTATATTGCTGTTTTGTTTACATAGTGAAATGATGACATTCGTGACCATCCATCCAGTTAACTGGAGGCCTGCGGCATCCACCTGCTGTCCGGGAGCTTTGTCACATGCTGGGAGAGGGACAAAAAGGGAATGGCCTCAAGGAGTTCATTGTTTAGAGAGAAATGGATATGTAGACAGATGGTTCGAATTCTATGAGACATCGGAAGTGCGGGGGCAGAATATGTACCGGAACAGTGGGGCAAAGAAAAGAGAGTCGTTTTTTCCTTGGAGTTGTGGTGTTCAGGTGAGAGCCCTGGAGATGCTGGGCAGTAGATACAAATGCTAAGTAGGCATATGATACTCCTGAAGTCTCTGGTAGTCCATGGCAAGAGAGCTGTCGTGTGATGTAGTTTGTGCAGGGAAACTTGGTAATGGTTCCTGCTAACCCATCATCTTACCCCAACACTCATTTCTTGTAATGAACCAGAGGAAATATTTGTGGTTATGGTGGACTGGGATACTCCTATGTAATTGCCAGAGTATTTGCTTTGGAAGAAGTGAGTTCCTGAAGATTTTTCCCTCTATAGGATTTGAAAATTAGAAACACTTACCAGTAAGAGTTGATTGCTTATCCTGTATGATAATTTAGTATTCAGCAGAGTTAGTCTTTTTTTTTAAAAAAAAAAGGTAACGAAAACCTCGAAAATGAATCAGCAAGCAGTATAGTTGATTGGCTTTAAAAAGCTGGCCAGGTGGCGTGGTGGTTAAGGCACTTGACTCTCACATGGCTGACTGCAGCTTGTGTTTTGGACCTGGCGGATTGTTTTCTCACTTTCCCTCCATCTCTTTCTCGCGAGCATATATACCCTGTACCAAATTAAAAAATAATAATGGGACCAGCAGTTGGTGTAATGGCTGTGTCACTTGACTCCCATGTAGTTGACCACAGTTCAAGTCCTGGACCCGGTGGCTTAAACTCACGCTGGGCACGTGTGCTTGTGTGCCCAAGATCTCAAGAGGAGAATGGAGGAGAAGGGATTGTGGCATGGCCATCCCCCCGGAGGGTGATTTCTCGCTTTCTGTCTCTCTCTGTCTTTCTGGCGAGCGCACATACCCTATAGCAAAAACTTCTCAAAAAAAAAAAATAATAATAATGATAAGTAAAATTAAATAAATTATTCTTTTTTAAAAAAAAGCAGGGACCAGCTCATGGCTTAATGATTATGTTCCTGGATTCCCACGTAGTCAACTCTAGTTTGAGTTCTGAACCTAGAGGCTTAAAACTCACACCAGGCACTTGTGTATGCGTGCTCAAGATCTGGAGGGGAGAATGGAGGAAAAGAAATGGCAGCATGGCCATCCTCCCTGGAGAGCGATTTCTTGCTTTCTATCTCTCTGTCTAAAAACAAACAAACAAACAAAAAATAAATAAAAAACAAAGCAAAACTAAAGCTGGTGTTGGACCAACTGTTGGCATGTGGTTAAGGTGGCTAGATCCCACATGACCAACTGCATGGTTTTAATCCTTGCAGCTTGAAGAACATGCCAGGTGCATGTATGTTCCTGCCCCAAATCCTCAGAGGAGAAAGATCAGAGGGATTGTATGTGTGGGGGGGGTCTTTTTTTCCTACCCCCCCCCGTCTCTCTCTATAAGTACACATGCCCTGTAGGAGAAAAGAAAAAGTCGGTGTCATCCTAGATCTTGACAACAGAACATACATTGGTTACTATAACTGTGGACACCAGATGCACACAGCTCAGGAAGTCAGAGTTCTGCTGTGCTTTAGAGGATGACTGAGGCTCACCTAGAGCTCTCTCCTCCAGAGAGAGGCCACGGTAGTAACAGTCCAGAGCTGCTGTCATGGGGTAGATAAACAGGAGAAAGAAATCTCAGCACGTTTAGCTATCTTTTGGGAGATGAGTAGAGTTGTTTTGTCCCTCCGATGGAGCAGAACACTGGGCAGCTGGAACAGAAAGAGGTTTTCAGAAGCTGTATTCTCCAAGCGGTGATATCTGCATGGAGGCCTCCCCATATCCAGGGATGCCAGGGGAGTCCTCTGTCAAATGCGGGGCCTCTAAGGTGCTGGCATGGACTAATGCCAGAGGTGATAGGTTTACCCATCCATGGTAAAAATGCACAAATAATATTTTTTAAAAGAATTATTTTTATTTAATTTATTTTTTAAAACTTTCTATAGGGCACACATATTCACCAGAGAGAGAAAGAGCAAGCAAGCTGCCAGGTCCAGGATTCAATCCATGGTCGGCCATGTGGGAGTCCAGCGCTTTAGCCACCATGCAATCTGCTGGCCCACAAATAACATCGTAATGAGCTTTTCCTAACTTACTACATTTTCAGCTCTGAGGTTGTATTTCCCACACTTTCTGTGTTACATGTCATTTTGTCAGCATAATGTTTAGGTGACATGTCTGTTAGTCTTTTGATTTTTAATTTGGTTACCACTTTGTGAGATCCTAAAATCTTGAAACTCCTGAACTAGATGACTTCCAACAACATCTGCTATCCCTTTTATCTCTAAAGTTTCATGACTCCCTGACTTTTTCATGTATATATAAAGGCTCAGCTGCCATTAAAAGAGTGCTTATGTTGGGGGCTAGGCTCTGGGTTTGCTCACATTTCATTCTGAGGTCAAGTACACACCAGAGGTGCTTATTATAAAAGTTACTCAACTCAGGGGTTCTTTTCCACAAGTGTTTTTCTGTTCAAAATTCTAATATCGCTGTCTTCATTCAAAATGGCATTTACTTGGAATCAAAATTCCTTTACTACATAGGTTTAACACACAGGCTTTGGAGTCAGCAGGCAAACCTGACTTAGCATATCCAAGCCTTATTTTATGACCCAAGGCTGGTTTCCTCCGGTACCTCTGATGACCTCTGATGACCAAGCTAAATACTGTTGGCAGCCACCTGGCACACTGCTTCCTTATAATAAGCTCTTTTTTTTCTTGAGAGGTTTTTGCTATAGGGCACGTGCACTTGCCAGAAAGAGAGAGACAAGACAGAGAGAGAGAAAGTGAGAAATCACCCACCCACCCCCCACCCCGGAGTGATGGCCACACTGCAATCCCTTCTCCTCTAGGGATCTTGGGCACGCACACACATGCGCCTGGCATGAGTTAAAGCCACTGGATCTGGTACTCGAACCACGGTCGACTACATGGGAGTCCAGCAACATAGCCATTATGCTAACTGCTGGTCCCAGTAAGTTCTTAATAAATGATAGCTGCAATCATTATTTCCACTAGCTAGAGTTTTTATGGATGCAACTGTAGACGACCTCTAGGACAGGTCTATGCACTTGAATTATGAGTATTAGAATATATCAAAAGTTTACCACTGACTACAGCTCAAATAATCTGGACCCACATTTGCTATGTAACCTAGTATAAGTTATCTGAATACATTATTGGGGTTTTTGATTGAACCATTAAGTTAGTCTTATTTAATCTACTTTTTCATTATCAGACCAATATGTGCCATCTTATCTGGGGAAAAGATAAATCATTTTTACTGTATAGTTCCAGTATGATATAAGTAAAGAAACATTTCTAAGATTTTTACTACTGCAGTTACAATAATGAGGAGAAGACAATTTGACCATATTTGCTCTCAAAACAAGTCATTGTTAGCCCTTTGTCAAAAAGGAAAAGTGCAGCATTACTAGGAATTAACTCAGTGCATTTCAGTCATGATACATAGTTTTTACAAACTAACTTAAACAAGAGTCTAATTCAACAGTTGAACTGTTGGTGCTATTCAGATTATTAGATCACTGATCAACTTTTCTGGGATTTGGAACTGACTGATTTAAAACTGTTAGTGGTGCACCATCTTAACCCTCCAGGGAACTGAATGGCAAAGTGACTCTCCCTCATAGTTAATATTCAAAACCTGCTAGTTTATCCATTAGAGACGTGTGTGTCCTTGGGTTTTACCACAAATAGAGAAGGGTGTAGACTCACACAAACCAGAAGCAACTCTGGCCCAGCCATGTAAGTGGGACACCTACCTTATTTATCTAAATTTCAGCTTTTCATCTAGAAAATAGAGATAATAATGCCAACTGCCAATAGTAATTTCATAATATGTGTAATGGTCTACTTAGGATTTTAATATATATGGCTATTAGTATTTGTATTATTGATAGTTATTCTGTTGAAAGCTGGATATTTTCCACAGTTTTGCCAAATTCTTACTCTTTGGTGCTTGAAAATAAAAATGTGTTTTTTCTAAGTCATATTTATCATATTCTGTAATGAGCATCTGTTTCTCAGAGTCTAGTAGACAGCATAGATCTTCCATGTTATGTAATTACATACGTTTTTATCCTATGGATGTTTTTTTCTTTAGTCTTTTTTTTTTTTTTTTTTTTGGTTATAGGGTATGTGCATTCACCAGAGAGAGAGAGAGAGAGAGAAAGAAAAAGAAAGGGAGAGCTCATCCCCCAGGGGGAATGGCCAACCACAGTCCCTTCTCTTCCAGTCTCCTCTTGGGATTTTAAGCATGCATGCACACACACCCAGCATGTTTCAAGCCATAGAGACTGGGACTTGCATGGCACTGCTGGCTACATGGAATCCATGCCTACACCTCCCTGACACCTACTGGCCCGTACCCTCTGAGTTTCTACTCGCAAGCAGACATCAGGGCTCATCTTCAAACCTATTAGCATGAACTGTCTTTACATTTTTTTAAAAAACATCATTTGCAGATTACGAAGCCAAGTTTGTTGGCTATTGTTCATTCTCAGTGTTGACTTACCTTGTGCATAATACCTGCACATGATTACCTGTGTGTATATTTGTTAATTTCAGTGTTGTTGTGTTTTTTTTTTTTCTGCAACAGAACACTACAAAAAAATTAAATGGAGGAAATAACAGGTTGAGACTGTTAAATTATAGCAGTGGAATATTTTGAGTCCAAATCCAGGTTGAAACATTAGCAAGTAGTTTTTAAATATCTGCAGCGTTAACAGCTTAGTTGCACTGTGCTTTGGGCAATTTAATACTGATTTCCTGTTGATTAGTACATGGAAGTCTATTTGATGATCTCTATTCTAGTGCTATTCTTTGCAATGCCCTGCTAGTTTCAGAAATTAGAAACACAAAAGACCCTGCACTGAATGGCTCTGTGTGTCTCTCTGTGATTTGCTTTTTTGCACAAAGGTAAAAATGACAAACCTGTCAAGCAGAACCAACTACCAGTTCCTCTGGCATTTTTGGAAATGTCTTCCCCTCTTTATGAACCAAAGCATGTTTTTTAGAAAGAAGCAGTGAATTCTGAAGTTAGCACGTACGAGTGCTGCTGCTGCCTTTTTTACCCTCCAAATAATGCCAAGTAAATGACCCAAGTGAAATACAGCAAGGTCTATTTAACAGGCTTGGCAACCCCCAAAGCCTGCCAGGTGCCAGGCCCATTGAGGAGGGAAGCAGCAGGAGAGTGCCTGAGTGAGGGCACAGCCAGGGCTCCCCGGAGGCAGGACTGGAGACACAGACACAGCCCGTGGAGCCCTAGGCAGTTCTGTGCTGTCCTCGTGGCTGCTCTTGAGTTACGCGTATCTAGTCTTTATCCGTATCTAGTCTTCTTTTGGAAATTGGATCCAAACTTGGCTAAATCTGGCAGTTTTCCTTTAAAACTTATATAATATTTAAAAAAAAAACTTTCATTATTGGTGTGTTTTCTCTTTTCCTCTTTTTGCAGGCAGGTAACTTGCAGACTCACTTACGTCGGCATTCTGGTGAAAAACCATACATCTGTGAAATCTGTGGAAAGAGGTCAGTGTGGGCTTATTCTCAGCATGTGGGGACCTCGTAGTCTGAGCCCTTTGACAGGTGGCGTTCTCTGCAGCTATGGCCCTGTGACAGCTGTATATGGGCTTATTCCACCACCGTGGAATTGAGGTCAATTCAGACCCTCTGACTTCTCATGTGACACATGAGAGGAGCATAAAAAGAAATGTTAATTAAAAGGGAAAATCTAGGACAGAAACCTTAGGAAAAAGGATTTCATATGAAACAAAATTATTTGATACTAAAATTTTCATTCATTCCCAAAATGTTTATGAAAATAGATTAACGCTCCCATGGAGGTGACTGTCTGGTGGGGGAAATGAGATTCGCAGCCTGAGTGACTCAACTTCAGGAGGCAAGGTGGCAGAGGGTGCCACAGGCTGTGGGCCCAGCAGAGGCTGTGAGAGTTCAGCATGGGAAGAGCAGAGCCAAGCCTTGAGGGAGAGGCCAGATTTGGACCCGGGACATGAGACTTGACCCGGTGATGGAAACTCTGATCCTAGAAGCACAGGCTGGCAACCCACACCCTCCTTCCATCACCTGGGTTATATGAGGGAACTTCAAATAGTTTATGGAGAAGTGAGATTAAAGTGTAAGTTTATTTTGGTACCAAAAACTTCTTGAAATCCATGCATAGGGCACATGCACTCTCTAGATAGACAGAGGGAGACAGCACCCGCAGTGGGGCATGCCACAGTGCAGCCCCTTCTCCACTTGCCATCGTGTTCATATCTGGGCCTGTGTGCACATGGGCCTGGTATGCCTTTCAAGCCTCTGGGGCCAGGATTCGAACCATGTGGTCAGCCATACTGATTCTGTCTGTTAACCACCAGGGTACAGGGCCTGTAGTTTTTGTTCGTTGGTTGGTTTTAGTTTTAGTTTTTCACTATAGAAGGCATGCGCTTACCAGAGGGAGACAGACAGAAAGAGGAAAAGAGAGGAAGCCCCGCCCATGGAGCATGGTCACAGCATAACCATGTCTCCTCCACTTCTCTTTTCTTGTTATGGGGCATGCATGCACCTGTACCTAATGTGTTTCTCAAGCTGCCAGTTCCAAGACTCGAACTTCATAGCCATGTGGGACCCAGCCACCTTTATCACCACACCATGGGCCACCCTTATAGTTTTTTCATAATATGCATTTTCCTTTAACTTTTTAAAGACCCCTTGTTTATCAGGGGTCCATTTACTTATTCGTCTGATGATTTCGCTAGAACAACAGGCATGGACCAACACTGCCTACCAGTCACAGAGCTCTGTGTGCACCGTGGTTATATAGCATTTATATTCAGTTATTTAATCATTCATACTTCAGACACCTGTTGATCTAAGTGTTGTGATGGGAACATATAAGCAAATGATAATAGGAGCCAGCAGGTGGCATGGTGGTTAAGGTGCTGGACTCCCCCACATGGCTGACCATGGTCCAAGTCCTGGACATGGCCTGAAAATCACACCAGGCACATGTGGATACGTGCCCAAAATCCCAGGAAGAGAATGAAGGAGGGGGGATTATATCATAGCCTTCCCCCCCCAGGGGTGATTTCTCACTTTTCCTCTGTCTCTCTCTGGTGAGCGCATATGCCCTATTGCAGAAACTTTTAAAAAAGTAAAAATAAGGGGCCAACAGGTAGCATGGTGGTTAAGGCACTGGACTCCCACATGGCTGATAGCAATTTGAGTCTCAGACCTGGCAGTTTGCTTTCTCACTTTCCGTCTCACTCTAGTCAAATTAAAAAGTAATAATAATGATCAATAAAATAATTCTTCTAAAAAAGTAAAAATAAAAAATGAACACAGACTTTCTGACAAGTTCAAATTGAAGAGTATGGAAGAAGAGATGGGCTTGGAAAAACCAGGTAGAAGTTGGTCTCCACAGCCATGCTGTGGGAACAGCAGAGGGAGAGCGATTCCTGGTTCCTTTCAGGAGAACTGCTGTCTCTGCCGATGGTAGAAAACAGAGCCTGACGTGCCTCCTCCTGCTCTGGCTGCCCGAGCGCTGAAAGCCCAGATCAGCCAGGGCACCCTAGCTGTCACCTGCTGCTCTTTCTGTGCCCATTGTAGGGACCCCTGCTGCTGCAGAACATCCATGCAGCTTCGCTTGGGCCTTCGAATGTCTTGTTTTGCAGTTTTAAATCTGAGCTTCTTTCCATGAACTTTCTGAGGTGTACTTAAAAGTTAAGCATGTGAGCCAACAGGTAGTATGATGGTTAAAGCACTGGATCCCACATGGCCAACTCTGTGGTTCAAGTCTTGGGCCCAGTGGCTTGAAAAACATGCCAGGTACTTGTGCACGAGTGCCCAAAACCTCAAGAGGAGAATGGAGGAGAGGGGATTGCAGCATGGCCATCCCCCCAGGAAATGATTTCTCACTTTCCCTCTCTCTTCTCTCTCCCTCTCTGTCCCTCTCCAGCAACCACATGTACCCAGTAGCAAAAGTCTTTAAAAACTAACACACAACAAAAGTCATGCCTGTATACAACATCTTTCTCCAGATTTAACAGACTATTCTATCAAGAGTTTGGTGGGAAAAGAGCAGATTTTCACTCCCCAGGGCCTGGGTTGCAATCATTACCTAAGACAAGTCAGTGACCATCTGTGAACTCAGTATTCTCATCTGGAAAGTGAGGATGAACCCCTGCCGACAGGTTGTGCAGACAGTTAAGTGAGTTGTTAACCATCCCGCACATCCCTTGGCATGCAGCAGTCACTCAGGGAGTGCTGGTTCTCTCTCTCCATTTAGTTCCCTTTGCGTCTCAGTTTCAGGACTTGTGTGTGTGAGCCTCCGTTGTGACTCAGGGGAGAGAGCTCCTTCTCTGGGATACTCAGAGGGGAAGAGGGCGGGGACGTTCCAAAACCTTTATGTGTCTGTACCTTTGTTCCTGAGGCTCCTGTGTGCTCTTCATCCAGCACCAGGGCAGCACTCCCTCTGGTGCTGTCGGGTGTGCTGCCCTTGGACTCCCAGCAACGCATGGCGTGCCCTCCAGCTAACCCCCATGACTTGGCAGGGCCATGGGTGGAAGGGGCCCCGCTTTGCTCTGAACTGTGAGGCTCCTTTTTCTCTCCTTACAGCCTCTATGGTAATGATGCTAAACTGTATGGTATCTGGTCATGTGCTGTGGAATACTGAGGAAGTTAGTTTAATGAAAAAAGGTAGGAAACATTGTTCTAAAAATAAGATTTTTCCATCATTTTCTTTCTTTTTTTACCTGTTTATTTCACTTAGTTCTTACATGAGATAAGAGAGACAACGAGATAAAGAGACAGGCACCTCCAGGAGGTTTTTGACTTATTAGGCCGTCAGCTACCCCCAGCTAGCCCAGGACTATCAGCACGTGCGAGCCCGATGTTTTCAGGGTGAACCCAGAACCTTCCCATGTGGGTCAGCTTCACAGAGCACATGTTTTACAGCTGTGCCACCAGCCAGCCCCCATTGTCTGCTTTGCTTAAACAGAGAGAGAGAAAGGGGAAGTTTTTTAATGCGCATTTCAGATGAAACCAGGCCACTTCTGATTCCATTCTGAAGCAGTGTGGGAGCAGATTGTCCCCTCCCTCAGTGACTTACAGTTACAGAGATCCAGTAATGCAGAAAGGTTCTTAATTGAATTTTCCAATTACATTACAGGTTTGCAGCCTCTGGCGACGTCCAGCGTCACATTATTATTCACTCAGGAGAAAAACCACACTTGTGTGACATCTGTGGTCGAGGTACAGCAGAGTGTTTCCTTTTATTTCTTGAAGATTACTTATTAAAATCTCCCCGTCCTCCAGTTTAACACCCGCTGTGGTCTCTCCAGGGTTTAGTAACTTCAGTAATTTGAAGGAGCACAAGAAGACACACACAGCAGACAAGGTCTTCACCTGTGACGAGTGTGGCAAGTCCTTCAACATGCAGAGGAAGCTGGTGAAGCACAGAGTGCGGCACACGGGAGAGCGGCCGTACAGCTGTTCCGCCTGTGGTACGTCCCTGCCGCCCCCAGGGCAGGCGATGCCTGGTCCATGCTGTGCCTGGGGCTTTGAGCCCGCCCTGCCCCCAGCTGATTGAGTGTCTGGAGGAAGCTCGCTGCTTTCTCCTAGATAGAATGGAAATGATGCTATTTCCTTACTGTCTCCGTGGTCATCTCTCATTCGTTTCTGTGTTCAAGTGTCATTCGCTGATACCCCAGGTGTCAGGAACTGTCCTGGGTGCTTGTACAAAGGTGACCGAGAGTCCCAGCACCTCTGGCTCATGGAGATGGGAGTGGTGGGCGGCTGGGCGAGGATGGAGGACCAGCTGAGGGTATGGCAGGTGCTGCAGGTTTTAGACAGAAAGAGGAATAGAACCTGCAGAAATGCGCCTAGGATTTTGTTAAAAGCTAAAGACATAAATATATTTTCAAAAGTGTTCCTCTGTTAGTAGGCTGGCTGTGTTGGGTATAGGATCATGTAGAGGAGACTGACAAGGAGAGCCGTGTTTCCCAGCACAGCCAGCAGGAGCAGGCGCCATGGCTTGCCCAGCACCGTACACCTGTGCAGGGAGAGACTGAGTCTCTAGACACTCAGCACCCAAGGCCATGCGTTGGTGGCACCACAGCAGAAGTTCTGCCCCGCAGGGATGGAAAGTCTTCCAAAGTGAGCAGATGCGGCAGTGACCAGCCCTTAAATCAGAATGGTTCAGGGTCTTTTGAGGGGGACAAGGGAATCCTTCCTGAATGCCTGCCCCTTGTTTAATGCTAGATAGCACATGAGAGAGAGAGAGAGAGAGAGAGAGAACACTTTCCTAACAGGGCCTGGTTATGCTGCAGTCTTTTTTCTTCCAATTCCCCATCCTGCTCTCAGCCAGCATATTGCCACTAGGGCTGGGATTTGAACTACAGTCAGCCCCGTGGGGTCCAGCTTCCTCTGCACCAGCACTTAAGCACTGTGCTATGAGACTGGCTCCAGAAGGGCCACTTCTTTTTTTTTTTTTTTTAGATTTTCGCTATAGGGCGCGTGCGCTTGCCAGACAGACAGAGACATAGAGACAGAAAGCGAGAAATCCCCCCCCGGGGGGATGGTCATGCTGCAGTCCCTTCTCCTCCATTCTCCTCTCGGGATCTTGGGCACGCATGCACACGAGTCCGGCGTGAGTTTTAAGCCACCGGGTCCGGGATGTGAACCGCGGTTGACTTCGTGAGAGTCCAGCGACATAGCCATTACGCTAACTGCTGGTTCCCAAGAAGGGCCACTTCTAAGAACATCTCTATTTCTTCCTCCAGGGAAGTGTTTTGGGGGATCTGGTGACCTCCGCAGACATGTCCGCACTCACACTGGGGAGAAACCGTACACGTGTGAGATCTGTAACAAGTGCTTCACCCGCTCTGCTGTGCTTCGACGCCACAAAAAGATGCACTGCAAAGCTGATGACGAGAGCCCCGACGTGCTGGAGGAGCTCAGTCAGGCCATAGAGACTTCCGACCTCGAGAAATCTCAGAGCTCCGATTCTTTCTCCCAAGACGTGTCTGTGGCACTGATGCCCGTGTCTGTGAAACTCCCCGTCCACCCAGTGGAGCATCCTGTGACCGAGTTCGATGGCCACTCTGTTGGCTCGTACTGTAAGTTACGGCCCATGGTTCCCCTGCATGAGGTCAGCGACCAGGAGAAGCTAGGTGTGGATACTGTTAAGCTTGCCAAGCCCCAGACGCAGCAGACACAGCAGCAGGCCTACGCTTACTCCGACGTGGACACCTCGGCCAGCGCCGAGCCACTGCAGGCCGATGGCATGTCCATGATCCGCTCGTCTCTGGCCGCTTTGGACAACCACTGCAGTGACCCCCTAGGCAGTCGTGTGTCTTCCACCGCTTACAGGAACTCGGAGGGACAGTTTTTCTCCAGCATGACTCTCTGGGGACTGGCGATGAAGACCCTGCAGAACGAGAACGAGCTGGACCAGTGACGACCGGCGATACGCTCAGCGCAGGGTGCTCCCCCGTGTGGCCCCCGGCACCAGGGCCACGAGGGGACCGGTTTCCCTCTGACTGGTCCCTTCTAGCCAGTCCAGTGATGGCTGCTATCTGAGGAGTGCTGAGCTCAGGGTTTGGGAAGAAAGGCCCCTGCTCACCATTGAGGCGGATGCAGAGCGGGGCACTCGCAGCAGAGGCCAGAGGCCCAAGAACTGTCACTGATGTTAACTGGCATGGAAGTGCAGACCTTGTGTCAACTACCGGATGCTTTAGTCATGGTCAAGGGAATATATATGAATAATAATAATACAAATATTATTTTTGCATTTTTATAAATATGAGATTTGTAGCATTTTGTATTTTTAAGTATTTACACAGATTTTATTTGTGTATGACTCATAATTTAATTTGAATAAATGAAACATGGTTTTCTATATAATATCATGTTTCCTTCAGCACTGTTTTTTGGGCGGGGGAAGAGGTTTTTGCTATAGCATGAGTGTGCTTGCCGGAAAGACAGAGACAGACAAAGTGTGAAATCACGCCCCACGGGGATGGCCATGCCACAGTCCCTTCTCCATTCTCTGCACACGTGCCCAGTGTGAGTTTAAGCTGCCGAGTCTGGGTCTCCAACCACGGTCAACTACATGGGAGTCGAGCAACGTAACCATTACACCATCTACTGGTCCCATCTTCAGCATGTTTTATAAGATTTCCATGAGTCAGAGAGACAGAGTGAGAGGGAGCACCCCTCACAGAGTGTTGACGTCATGATCCACCCCCAGCCTCAGCCAGCTCGAGATCAGGGCACATAACTGCCCCGTGTACCCAGGGAGGTCTCTGGATGTGAACCTGGAACCTTCCCACGTGGGCCCGCCTTGCAGAGCATTACATTTTATCACCGTGTGGTTGTCCGACCCCTCCTCTAGCATTTTTACTACCACAGTGGTATCAAAACTGATGCTAGCGAACACTCGCCCTGCGGGACCAAGCCCCACGAGCACTCGTCCTGCCATCCTGGGGCAGGACCTCGGGGCATCAGAACAGCCTGCGTCAGCGCTGCCATGCACAGGCGAGGTCAGGCCAGCTCTCCACCTCTTGGGGTCGCCCTCGGTTTTCTTTCCTATCATAAAAAATAATTATCTTCAGCAAGACACCTTTCTTAGGCTCAAATGGCCTGATCATGCACTTGAAAACACCTGCCCAGGGTCCAGCCCTGATAGGGTTTCCTAGATGAACTCTTCTTCCTTCACCTTTCAAGCAGAATTGATGGCCACTGAGCAAGCTGGATGTGTACATGTGTCTGGAGTGCTGTCACTGGAGTATCAAGGTGGGGCCACAGAAGTGCAGACACAGCTCCCGGTGCGGCTTACACACATGGCTGGCCTAAGTTTGGATGCACCCTCAGATACTCTTCAGCAGCTCTCACTCAGGAATGTAGTAAACCCAACAGTACAAAGTTGAGTAGCTGAAGGTTTTCCTGGAAGAACAGTGCAGGTGGAATACTAGCTAGCTGTACAGATTCAGGCTCGCCTCCCGCTTTTCCCAACCGTGAATGCACTGCAGTCCAGGAGGCTGGTGGGACACAGGAGAACCTGAGCTGCAATGAGCACCCCGCACAAGGACACGTGCTGCTCAGCTGTGACAGCACCTTGTGTGGCGTGCCTCAGCGTGGAGCATTTGTGAGTGTTCTTTGCCCTGTCCCTCCCACCACATTTCCCCGATCTCCCTAACCCTGCAGCTCTTCCTCCCCTGTGCACCCCCTGCCCTTGATGCACTCACTTTCCCTGTATCCTCTAGCCAGGCTACTCTCATGCTCCATCCTGCCATGGCTCACCCACCTGCTCCCTTATCAAACTTACCTGGTGGGCCTTCAGCTCTGCCTTCCGTGTCTGCATGGGCTGCCGAGCCAGGCTGCCCAGAAACAGCCATCTTCGGCTTGCTCCGTACCTCACTCCTGCTGAGCTTGATCCTGCCTCACACCCTCCCTCCTTGACCTGCCCACATGCTGCCGAGATGACTGTTTTCTCAAACCCCGTGCTCCAGCTTCCTCTCATCTTGCTTTCTAGTTCTCTGAGAACATAGAAGCTAAAGGGAAAGACCTTGCCTCGGGCCCTAGACACCGGCCAGACTCCCTGCACGTGTCTTACAACTCTGTACCCCACCTAGAACTGTGCCCCATCGACTTCCCCACCCTGCTTTCTCCGTCCTACTTCAGCTCACCGTCTGACGGTTTCACACATCCTACATCAGGGGGTGAGCTCCTGGGAGTCTGTTCGTTTTGCTCACTGTGGTAACCTCAGTGCCCACAACATGTCTGGCACTTAGTAAATGCTCACTAAATAATTGTCAAGAGAATGTTTTTGGAATATCTTTTGGTCAAAATGTTGGCCCTCCTAGATTGGTCCTTTATTTTTCTTTTCTCCTGAATCCTGTCTTGTCAGACCTGTACTCCACTGAGACACACTCTTGTCCAGGTCACCCTTCGATCCAGGGGCCAATTCCCAGTCCCTGACTGTTGACTCTTCAGTAGGACACTGCAGCGGTAAGACAGTCCCTGTTACTCCTTAAAACAAAGGAGTAAAAAGTGCCTCCTTCAGGGCCAGCAGGTGGTGTAGTGGTTAAGTGTTGGACTCGCACATGGCTGACCACAGTTTGATTCCTCGACCTGGCAGTTTGAAAATCACTCCAGGCACTTGTGTGTATTTGTCCAAAATCCCAAGAGAAGAATGAATTTGAGGTCACTCTCACCCCTGGGGGGCTGTTTTCTCACTTTCCCTCTCTCTGTCTCTTCCTGGCTAGTGCACACCCCCTATGGCAAAAGCCCTTTAAAAAATAAAGAAGTGGGGTCAGCAGGTGGCATGGTGGTTAAGGCACTGCACTCCCACATCGCTGAGTGGTTGAAGTCCCAGACCTGGAGGCTTGAAACTAACACCTGGCACGCATGCATGTGTGCCTAAAATCCCAAGAGGAGAATGAAAGAGAAGTGGCTATGGTGTGGTCCTCCTTGAAGGGCGATTTGTGCTCACTCTCTCCCCATCTCTCTAGCGAGCATGTGTACCCTATGACAAAAACCCAAAACAAACAAGTAAGAACTTACAAAACCAACTTTAATGAAATCGAGTTAATTGGAGAGATTTGAACACTGAAATTAAATACTGCCTCGGTGATACTAAGAAATTACTGTTGGGGCTAGGGGAGATGTTGAGGTGTGAGTCACCAGGTCCACAGTTTCAGCTGTGGGAAGAGTAGGCTCTCAGGATGGAGTGCACAGCATGGCACTGTAGTTAATCACACAGCATTATGTACCAGAAGTTTGCGGAGAGGAGAGCTTGTGTGTCCCCCCAGGGGATCTGCGAGCTGATAGCTATGTACCATAATTCTGGCAGTCATCTCACAGTGTATTCATATAGTAAACCCTCCGTTATATACTTGTTTTTAAACGCTAATGAATTCATTTTATTACAACGTACTACGTTTTCATTGTCAGCAGGCCTGTGTGCCCACCAAGGTGGCAGGGGCTTGGGGGAGCACCGGCTAGTAGAGTGTCATGCCCCAGCCCTGCTGTCCGTTTCTTTACCTCGTCAGAGTTCTGGGTACACACGCACACACACAGGCCTAGCATGTGTTAGGGCCAGGGTTCCAGCGGCACTTGGCCATGTGGGATCCAGCTTCCTCCATGGCCTCCTTAAACTGTGCTGTGGGCTCAGCCTTGTACGCTTTGATTTTATTTGTTATTTTTCCCTCAATAAAACTGAAAGAATGTTCATATATCTGACTTTTAGATGTGTGCTGAAGTTATATTTTTTGAAACTAATTTTCTTGCAAAGATTTCCTAGTGAAGCAGTGTTTAAGTTATTGGGTTGTTAGGAAAGGAGTGGTGCATTTCTGCTTAGAACAGTATGTCACAACTTTCTCCAAACCTGGCATAGTGTTGGACTCGCACATGGCTGACCACAGTTTGATTCCTCGACCTGGCAGTTTGAAAATCACTCCAGGCACTTGTGTGTATTTGTCCAAAATCCCAAGAGAAGAATGAATTTGAGGTCACTCTCACCCCTGGGGGGGTGTTTTCTCACTTTCCCTCTCTCTGTCTCTTCCTGGCTAGTGCACACCCCCTATGGCAAAAGCCCTTTAAAAAATAAAGAAGTGGGGTCAGCAGGTGGCATGGTGGTTAAGGCACTGCACTCCCACATCGCTGAGTGGTTGAAGTCCCAGACCTGGAGGCTTGAAACTAACACCTGGCACGCATGCATGTGTGCCTAAAATCCCAAGAGGAGGGTGGAGGAGAAGGAATTGCAGCGTGGTCATTGCCCCCAGGGGTGATTTCTCACCTTCTCCATCTCTCTCATGAATGCATGCACCCTATAGCAAAAATCTCTCTTCCAAAAAAAAAGTCTCCTTCACTAACTGGCTGCTCTGTCTCAGACTCCCCCATATTTACTCTCCCCTCAACCCACATTTAAAAGCTGAGGTTCAAGAGATAGGAGGAACAACAGGGAGATGAAGGCCACCTGACCTGAACCGATCAGCAAAGACCCTGCCCTGCCTGCAGTGGGGAGGAGGGACTGCTCTGGCTTTCAAGGATTGCCACCTGACAGAAGGAGCAACAGGGAAGCAGGGGTCGCCTGGCCTGAGCTGATCCACAGGGACCCCTCCCAGCCTGCAATGGGGAGGAAGGGCTGCTCCAGAATCTGACACCACCTCACTTCGACCTGTGCAGCTCTGCCTCCAGCCACACTGGGAACAGAGATGTTTAGGTCCACAGGAACTGAACACTTGAACACAGAGATTTTGGAGGAATTCCTCCCCACAACCCCCCACCCTGCCTTAGCAGTGAAAGAAGAGAAACTCCCCTCTGAAAACCCGGACACGAGTCTCATGGTGGACCACACTCCCACCCAGTGAAGGAGGGGAGCTGGCACAGAGCAGACTCACCACAGGGAAGCGCACCAGCCCACAGCTACAGAAACGTACTCCGCAGGAGTAGGAGGGAGTATACCACCCATGACTAGAAATCAAAGCAGAGTTCCAAGAACTCGGAGAAAACCAGGAAATCCTTCATCCCTTCTCCCACAAAGGACCATAATAACTCATTGCTAACAATGAGTAAATGAGTAAAACACGAGAGAGAACAGAAATGTCAGAAAAATAATTCAGGATATTCATTGTAACGAGACTGAATGAGATGAGAGGGAGACAGACAACCAATTCTAGATGAGAAAATCCTTCCATGATTCGCTGGAGGAATTTCGTGGAGAGAAACACCCTGAGCAAGAATCAAACAGAACTTCTGGAGACAAAGAATATGATGTTAAAAACCTAAACCTCCCATGAAAGTGTCATCAGCAGA